TGAGTGGTGACAGCTAGAAGTCGAGATCTCAAATTCGAATACCAAATTGTAAGCATCTGTAAAGTTAATTATATATTCTTATTTTTTGGTATGAATCTTATAGAAATAATAAACAAAAAGCCTGTTTCAATAGAATTTAATGAAAATGTAAACGAACAATTAATTGTCTCGCCAATAAGACAGTCCACTAATATAATAGTACAAATAAAAAATCTATTATTAGATCGAATGTTTAGATTTGTTTCTTATTTCATTTAATTTTCTTATTTCTTTATTTCTGTGATAATTTCAACTAAACTTAGTTACCTTTTTATGAAGTAATATAACTGCATATAAGATATAATATAAGAAGATATATTTATATACACTGCAGATAAGTCGAGAGGAATAAATAGATATATTAAAATGATCAACACAATTCATTATTACAATTTACTTGTTATATTATAATAAAAATGACTTATTGTAACTAATTATGTACCTAACATCATTACGAAGTACCCTTGAATAAAATAACTGAGTTAATTAATAAATGCATTATATAACTAATTATTTATATTTATGCATACTTTGCGTTCGCATAATACAATGAATGTTTTTTTTTTGTATGTAATTATATTATAAATCATTACTCAAGTCAAATTAGCATTTATTAGAATTATTTATTCACGAAATCTCTTGTCCTCCCAGCATAGAATGTTCCACCCCTTCTTTTCCCTTGGGCGTCGTAAGAGCTGACTTAATGGTCGAAGGATGAACAACAACGTCCTTCTTAAACCATCACCAAAAGCCTAACTGCGGTTACCAACTCGTCTGCTACTGCCGCTGTACTGTCTGCTTGCTGAACGTGGCAACTACTTACAAAATAGAGGAAAGCTTTTATTCAGCAGTAGACAGATAATGGCTGATATGATGATGATGAATGATGAAGTATAAATAATTTATGAATAAAGATTTGAATTATTATTTATCTTGATATAAAAATTCTTTGTCACTATGTTCGTTCACGGTAATCTCAGAAACCGCTCAACAGATTGAAATTTTTTAAATGTGTATTATTTGTTCTAACCTGAGAAATAGGATAGTTTTTATCTTGATAAGAATAAATTAAGCCAGTAGATGGCGGTAGGTGACAAATAACGTTTTGTGGGTCAGTTCTATTAAAAATAAAAATCCTGATTCTTACAATCAGCTTAGTATACTTTTCTATTAAAATAAAATTAACTTAAATTTTTTATACAAACATAAAGTCCCAAATAAAAAAAATACGCACACATACACACACGTATACACACACGTAATTTTCACAAAAAAATACGATGAAGTACATTATATGATAAGTCTATTTTCCAAATTACTGGAGATGTCTGTAGACATCTCCAGCTGTTTGGTAATGCTTTAATTATTGTTTCGTAAATTTCAAATCATAATTGCTAACGTTATTTGAAATAGCTATTATTTCTTAACAATATATTGCATTCGAATTGTGCACGTAAGATCTAAAGGTTGCAAAAGCTATTTTACTAACGAAATGTTAATATTTACATAGATGCCTCCATAATGGCTTAGGCTGAAATAATTTCGCTTTGCAATGTTTACAGATAAACACTTATTATTCTCAGTTGAAGGTTTTTATGAAATGAAACTTTTACTATTTGCGTAAAGTGGCTTTTAAGCAAGAATAGAAGAGGAGAATAAATAAATAAAAGTAAATAAAACATATCTATGTTTAATATGGATAAGAGGATTGTTAGTAATAGAAATTAGAGGCTATAATATATAGAATAGGGCTGCCATTATTAGTAATATAATATACTCAGGTCGACTATCACATGGTTCTCGTAAAGCGTTATGGTTGATTCTTAATGAATATGTCACAATGGGATAAATGGCCCAATTCTATCCTCATCTATCATCTGTCAGTAGTATAACACCAGGGTAATTTATACATACATATAATAGTGTGAGTAGGATTACCATTCTCTTAGGGGGAAAAGCGATTGTTAATAACGGGTGCTAACAGCCCCATTGCTAGCAATACACCCTATCATGTCGACGTCCATGCGGTTCCTCCTGGAAAAAATCATGGTTAATTCTTGTTGAATTCTTTACGATGAGCCTACTAATGCAGGGAACTGCATCTATTATCCATCATTGGTGCTCAGTGAGCGTATACCGAAAGCGCCAGACGAGGTTACCTTCCATTATTATCCATAAAAAAATCATTCCATTAAAAAAAAATAAACTTTTTAAAAAGCAAACATTATAGGAACGTAGACGTAAAGGCATGGTCACAATGTGGAGCGTGTTTACGAGAAACTGTTCGGCGAGCCGGAACGTGCCGCTTTCACGAGCGAGACGCGACTGCGGTCTTGACGTATCTGTGACGTCACGACACGTTCCGTTTCACCAATTATGAAAATCTTCTGTAATTTATATAAAATTAGGAATACTTCTAATACTGATTAATAGTTGTTTTTTGTATTTTAACTTGTGATCGAGATTCCTCTATAGCGTTCAAAAATATTCACTCACATATTTATTTTCGGGGTTACCCGATTACATCCACCACAATCACACACGCACATAACGTCGGAGTAGCAAATATATCTTTTTATAAAAAACTATACTTGTTATATGTATCTATGTGGATAATTAAAAACTCGGGTAGGATAGGTAAAAAAAAAAATAACACTTTGATTTTAAAATCTTGCATTTTTGTCCAAATTTTCATACTTTCTTTAATATAAAATTCCGTAAATCTTATTTATCTTCTGTAAATATAATAGTAGTTAAATAATATTCCTAAGATGATGTCGCACTTCATTAATTTACCAAAAGTTACCTATATAAGTTTAGACCTTAATGATGTTTGACGTGGGCTTTCTTGTGGATGTTGGGAGCGACGTAAGTTTCCAACCTGTCTCGTAAAGTTACTATTGAACGTGCCTCAACTTGTCCCAAGACAACGCGATATACAATAATCTTTAACAGTACGAACTTGTTACCATCTTGAATAGTCCTCAGAAACTAATATCTGAAGTTATCCCGTCACCTTACACCTCGTCTCGGTTTAAACCTCAATTTGGTATTCCCGATATTGGGCATATTGATTAAGTACGAAACTAAATATATATTCTCTGATATATCAAGCGGACAAACTATTTACCTTGCCCGAAGTCAAGGAGTTGTAGACATTTAATTAAGCTTTGAGAAATAAATAGGCAATAGACTTAGTTCTTGAATAAACTGTACCAAGCGCCCGCAATTTTGCTAGTGGGAATTAAATTATTCTGTTCCTGAGATATATAGTTTTATTTATCCTTGGATAACATTAAATTAAATTTCCTAAAATAAAATACCTAATGTATTGACAGTGTTTAGGGTTTCATTATAATCAGAATGAATAAAATGAACTGAATAAAGTAGAATTGCCCAAATAAAAAAATGTATATACTTTTTTTAATTTGGGCAATTCTAGTTAAAATATTTGTAATATATATAATTTATAGTTAAAATATTTTTTTTTTATGACGAATAGAGATTCAAGTGCCTTAATCAAAAGATAAAAATAAATTGACCCATAATTTATATAACATTTTAAAAGTCTTTTATTAACATCACACTCTTAAGAAACTTTCAAGGCACTTTCTTCCACGCACAACCATTCTTTGGAATCAACTTCCAGCAGCAGTATTTCCGAACCGATACGACAATATAACCTTCAAGAAAAGAGTATATTCCTTTTTAAAAGGCCGGCAGCACACCTGCAATGCCGCTGGTGTTGTGGGTGATCATGGGCGGCGGTAGTCACTTACCATCAGGTGAGCCGCATGCTCGGTTGCCCCTTGTGTTGTAAAAAAAAAACTCTTAAGAAATCTTCAACAAACCACTTTGAAAATACCATTTTTTATTGCTAACCTTTTGCAAATTCTAAAATCTTAGTTGATATTTAGTCAATATTGAAGTAAATTTATCTGAGCCTAGTTAACACTAACTTGAGTATATACTGTAAAAAAAAAATACCCTGCGTATCACCTTTGCTTACGATACATACAGCATGCTCCTGTTCATATAATTGCTATTGATCCAAATATATCTCGGTACATTTGGAAAAATATCCGGTCGACATAATTGGATAAAAGAAAAATAAATTTTCAATACTCTATCTATGTACATATAAATCAGTTTACACTCTATACATCCCAGATTGGCAAGTTCATTTCACTGATTGGGTTTCTGGTATGGTGGGCTAATAATTACGCTGCCAACAACTGAGTTGAACTGACTGTTCAATTAGCGATGGTCGATTTACATTACGTCGTATTAATTGACACATTGTTTTTGATGTAATTAGCAACGAGCAATTAATGTAATAAATATTTTGAGTCATTTATGTTGATGATTATTGTAATGCAATTCGTTTAAGCCGAGTACTGAATTAGAACCTCTGTGATTCAACTTTATGTTAATTTAATTGAAAATAAAAAAGACTTTTCGATTTATTTGTCTATTAAAAATATATACTATAGTTTTTTTATTTTATTTAAATGTTAAGGTCTATACAGAGTACATAAGAAATGCTGCACAAATAATTGTTTTTAGGATTTACACTGTGATAACTCAATTATATACTTTATTAAATTTAATGAAAATTAGAATAAAATATTTTTTAGAACGAGCAATACTGAAATGACTTGTATTTTACTTATTATGTACTACTTGTACATAGATGAACCTGAACTTATATGTATACATATAATTATTAGGTAATCTATGTACAATCTGAGGAAGAAGTAAGAAACCCTAGTAGTCGTATGTTACATACATGATTGATGATGAGATGATTGTGAAATTAGATAAATCAAGAGATTTATGTAAGCTCATAGGTTTTGGTATTCATTCCTGTCTTCCTGTACTGCAAGTTTCGTTTTTGTTCGTTAAATGTAATTACATTTATTAGATACGCGCAGAGATTTAATAACAATTCTTTGTTTCAGATGTGACAGTGCTGCCAACATGGTATAGACTTAATCAATGTCTGTGCCAATTTCTCTAGTGCCAAAAATGGCCTTCTCCACAACCCGGGGAACAATCGATGAACTTTTATAAGTCTTTATAGAGAACGATGGTATCAATGATCCGGTGAAAATTAATTAAACAAAATGGGCCGGCGACGTTGGAGATTCTTTACAATCACGGCGTTCCTGCTTTTTATAATAAAAGATACACAATGTCAAGGTAAGTGTTCAGTTATTATATAATTCTGAATATGGATATAAGTGTAAAGTTCCATAAGCGAACTCGAACTGTATTATACGATGCAAAATGATTGCTATTTGCCAGATTTGTTAGCAGTATTAATTTGACTTTCTTGTTTAATTTCGTGCTTATTTTCATCACGAATATTACAAAGTTATTATTGTTAATATTTTTTAAATAATTTTGTAGGCTAATACTGACTCTTTTAAAAACCAAAAATATTCTTATGAGGTGACTTTATTTGTGCCATGTACATGGTACAAGATACTCACCTACTAAAAACTTTTACTAAGAACTTTTTCATTGTATAGGAAATTATAAATTCTATTAGTCATTATAAATTAAAAAGATATGCATGTGTTTATCCGGTACGAAATGCATTTAAATATCGTCTGCTGCTATGGCAGTGGACGTGACATTAGATTTACCCGCATTATACCGAGCATATTAGAATCTTACGTGACAGAGTGCAAATTTACTGCAGTCTCTGGGTTTCGTTTAGTTTCATTTTAATGTTTTATATTGTCGAAATCGATCTGAAATGAATGGAAATTAAAGTTGATACTTTAACAAAATGTTAGGTATCTTTTAAAAAATTAAGATACAGTTTTTGGAGTGTATAAAACAATTAATAAATAAGGCAAATAAGCAAGGAGCACTTTGTTGTTACTAATAAGGTCATATTGCCGATCATAGTACCGTGTGGTCCCGGCGTAGAATGGGCGACCTTTTCCTATTTCGTAAGAGTTTCGTTGTTAAAAGAGGCAACTAAGGGAACTTATTAAGTTACCACTTATTAAGTTTCGACAACGATACCCATCGTCCCTCTTAAAACATCTTCAAAGTCTAACTACGGTTGCCAACCCGCCTGCCAAACGTGGCAACTACTGGCAAACCTCCCTTATGGGGAAGGCCTATGTTTAGCAGTGGCCAGTTAACAGCTGATATAAGGATGATGATGATAAGAGCATATTAATTTATTATGAAGTAAACAGTATAAAGTTCATAAAGGATATTATGTAAAATTTCTACCACAATATTGTCTTATAAAATGTAAACAATTTTGGTGTTGAATATATGCAAATTGTTGGGATCTAAATGTATTATAATTACTCAGCGAGAAACAACATACAAAATACCTAAGTAGACTATAAAATCTTAATATCGTTTAAATTATCATGGTAGTATATGAAAAATGTAAATATATGCTAGCCAGTTTTTCCCAGTGACTTCGTTCGCGTGACCGGGATATGTTCATTTTTCAACTTTTTCGTCTTCGTCACTTAAATAAAACTAAAATGTCCCGATCGAATCCGGGAACTCATTACGTATAATACTGTGCGTACTGCTACGACACAAAGATTGTCAAATTATTGCCATTTGCTAAACAAACAAACAAACATACGTATTTGATAGGTAAACGCAAGTCATTGCACAGATTTAGATCATTTCCAAAATTATATTTTGGTTACTTAAACACCCATTGAACACGGAGCCAACCCCGGAATGACATTGAGATGTCGTCGATAAGTGTATGATTTCCTTTGGGAGGCTCGGTAATAAGCAATATATGAGGATCCTTGAAAGAAAAATGACCGAGCAAATTTATACGACGTATTTGGGGAAATTTTGCCATTCAATGTTGATAGTCTATTGATTAAATATGTGAATATACTTCTGTACTGATCGTTATGTATTTATAGATACAAACAATCATATACATAGCTTTGTTATTGACAATATTGTTGTAGTTGTCATTAGTATTATTTAATTTTGTATTTCCTTCACTTGTATTTATACATTTGTGCAAACTTTAGTGGCTGTTAAATAATTACTTAAGTATGTAATTACATATTGTTATAGATATCTGTTTGTCTTAAATAAATAAATAGTTTTCAGGTGGAGCTGAGTGGAGGTCGATATGATAGGTTATATTACTAGGAGTGGAACACTTAGATCCCATTACTAACAATCACTTTCCCCATATTGTGTGTGTTAGCGACATCTTAGCTGATTTTGATATATTTTTGGAATCAAAAGAGAATAGACAATAAAGTATAGAAGAAGCATAGAAGAAGCTGGGCTAACCTATATGATAAAACAACTTTATAAAGAACATCTTGGAAGAAAAGACAAAGGTAAAAGGAGAAGTAGAAGACCAAGAAACAAGTACATTAAATAGATAAACGAAATACTACGTATCATGTCGTAAAATGAGATTATATAATGGAATATAGCTTGGTAAAGGGCCGATTGAAAAGCCCGAAAAGGATATATGAATTAATTGTCAAGATTGGGAAAAACCCTTAATAAATAAAGTTTTATGTTGACTGACTGCTATTATGCAAAGAATTCTTTTTAAAAAAGACGTTGTTGAGAACTTAGGTTAAGAAGCAAAATCTTTTTTGCATTCTAAATTCAAATATTTTAAATCAAATATTGTCTACAAATTGTCATGTGGTCCCGGCATATAATGCCCACTCCCTCTCTTCCCTTTCCATGGGTGTCGTAAGTGAACATAATACTAATAAAACATAATGGTCGAGAGATGGCCAGTAGCATACCTTTTAAAACATCACCAAGGCCTAATTGCGGTTGCTCCAACCTAGCGTGGTAACTACTGGCAAAACCCTTATGGAAACCATGTTTAGCAATGGACAGTCAACGATTGATATGATGATTGTCTACAAAACTGTTTATCGTACAGCTGTGTTTGTTTTATTCATTTTAAACCTGTTAACATTTAAATAATCTGTGGTAATATGTAAATAGTAATAACCAACCGTTGCAAAATCATAATGCATACGCACGTACTGCGATTATATGCAAACACTGAGTGCCCATTTCAACATTACAGAAATGGATATAAAGAACTAAAAACTATGTAAAAGGAGATAATAAACATTTATCGTAGGCGTAGAATGCAAGCTCGCCGCCCACGACTTCACCGCTGTTTAGTTGACGCCCTATTTATTATTCAAGAGCAACTTGCGTCTTTGGAAGACTTGTAATCGCAAAGTCCCATTTCACCTTGAATTTCGATCAACTGTATCTGGTTGCTATCAGGCCTTTCAAGTCTTTGTTGACGCTGAGATAAATGTCTGGTACTGAATGATTTATGTATATTTCTATAGAATTCCATAGAAATTTCTATTCTATATACAATTTATTGCTATTAAAACGAATACCTTTTCATTGTGTTATGTAGGGTAACAATATACAATAGTTGTTCAATGATACTGCCATGTACTTTGTAAAATTTTAGAATACAATACTTTCATATTCATTCCTGTTATGGTTTTCAATTAAAATAAAAAAAAATACACGACACTTACTTATAGGAAACTAGCATCACTATCACAGCTCATCTATTATTATTATTGGTCACTGCTCAAAGTAGACTCCCATTTATTTAGCCAATTAATTTTTAAATTACGATCCCTAACCACTCATATCTATCAAATTCTTGTAACAACTTTGAGGTTACCACACTTCTAATTACTTCACACTACTCACAAACTCTTTTTCGCATCGGTTATGGGCCAACCGAACTTAGCTTATTACCAGTTCAATATGCACTTGCACGTAAAGTCGTTGTTCCTCAAACCAGTACCTGTGATACAAGAGGGCAATACTCTCACACGAGTACAGTAATACATAGTTGCATGCAAATTTTTCAGTCACAGATCTTCTGCGAATATCCGGGTTCCAGATTCCATCACGCAGTGAAACTGTACTGTCACACTGCGTTTTTGTTGTTGTATTATATAAATTCACAAACTGATTTCGTTAGTATTATCAAGACGTTATTAAAACAAAACACGGAATATTTCACAAGTGATTCTGTTTCAAGATAAAACTAAGAAAGATTTCTTTCGAATTTCATTTGAAATTGGAGCTTACAGTTGGTATAGGATTGTTTCTTTCAATGAAACTTAGCGTAAATTTAAAGCATAAAAACTTATAACAAGTTTCAAGATTTCTTGGTATTCAATTCATAAAGAGATTAAATAAAAAAATATATATGCTCACCATTATAATCCGTAAAGAAAGTAATCAGAGGCATTAGGAATCTGTGGCTGTAATAAATAATAATAATAAATTATAATTAAAAAATATTATAATGAACAAATTTTAAAGTAATAAAATACAAATTAATAATATTTTAAATAATATATTTTGTAACTTTGTGGAACATAGTACAATTGCCTTTTAAAATAGTTACTTTATAGTTTATGTATAAAAATTATTAATAATAAGGGGTAATTCTTCGAGGAAGCAAAGTTGACAATCGTTATATTTTTAGTATAGAATGCCACATCTAAAGTAACCCTTTCTTCAGTAGTTGGATATAATTATAAATATAAATCTGTATTCTTATAGTATAACCACTTATCATATAATAAATAAATAATATAATAGGTATAACTAAATTTTAATCGCAACAATTACAACAAAACAAAAAATATCTAAAGAAAATAAATATAGTGAGATTTTTCAAGAAAATTAAATTGTTCTAAAGCTAGCTCAGTCTATTAGCACGTAAGTGCACGTCTAGAGCGAAAAATAAATTGAAAAACACGAACGTTAGTTAACGTTTGCCAGCTATATTTTATAGATTTTTTCAGTACACTCAACAGAAATAGAATTTGTTTTATAGTATTTTTGTTTATATAAATATACATGAGCATGCATATTATTATAAACTCAAGCATTTCGAGGTAGATAGAGACCACAGATCATTGCTTGTCCTATTTTTAATACAACAGGAAATATCGAACAAACTGACAGCCCACCTGATTATACGATACGTTAAATTCGTATGTAGATACAAAAGCATCATATAACCAAAATTAATTTCTCATTAATATATACATATACTTCTACTTAATAACACAAATATATATGTGCATATATATCTAACATTTCTAATTACATACACTATGAGCAGGAATGTTATTACTGCTATAATCACGGAA